ACAATCTCAATCGCAACACTTGAAGTCACCGGTATTGATGCAATGGTAATAACCTATTTTTATATTAGTCATTGTAAAAGTAAATTATTTTTGGTGTAATGAATACGTAACTTTCGTTTTTTAAGTAAAAATTTGATGGTACTAGCCTGATTCTACTGAAATATTTCATCTGGATGAGTGAAGCAGGTTAATGTAGCATTATTATATTAGTTATATGTGCAAACCAAAATCTTAACATAGAATCTCTATTGGAATTCTCGTTTAACGAAATCTTAAACTTGTCATTTATCTATTGAGTGTTTTAAATTTCGATTAAATTTTATTATTTATTTATTTATTATTATTAAACTAAATATAATGCAAATAGATATATATGGCTTAAAATTTTTTTCTTGTCATCAATTTGTATAATTTTGCTGTGCAACACCGCATTTTAAAATCTTGAACCTACATCTATAGTAATATTATAAAGAGATAATGTTTGTAAGTTTGTATGTAGGGGTAATCTCCGAAACTACTCGTCCGATTTCAAAAATTCTTTCACCAATATTTAGAATGGAACTTCAGGGTAAACATAGGCTGTATATTATTTCGTTAAACATTCATATAAATTAAAAGATATCATTTAGGGTTAAGGCTTTTATGTCCAACAGATGGCGCTACGAGTACAACGACCTAAGTTTGCTTTTCTGTGAGGATGAACTAAAGCAGATCATCTTCAATCTATCTATGTAAATAAAAATGTAATGTTCGTTTGTTCCTACTGATTACTTTGAAATTTTGACACAACGCTGCATTCGAATACGCACGTGTATACATGTCGAAATTTCTCCCACTGGGGTGATGGACAGGATTAAGGCTTACCGTGAAGAACTCTATTTCTATTTATACTATTTTAGATGCGGTTTTTTGCGTTTTTGACTGCGTTTTAATAGGGTACGTCAACAGAATATACACTATAAAAAGATTTTTCGATATTCCCCCCGTTGGGGAGAGGGACAGGATTAAGGCTTACCGTGAAGAACATTGCTTATATTATACTATTTTAGATGCGGTTTTTTGCGTTTTTGATTGCGTTTTAATAGAGTACGCCAAGAGAATGTACACTAAGAAGGGATTTTTCGAAAAATCCCCCCCACGGGGGAAGTGTTATACATTTATAATAGATACATTTTGAGCCACAACAACGCGTGGCGGGTCTGCTAGTACATAATAATTAGTGTTTTAAACATTTGCAAAATATGTAATTTAAAGGAATTTCCCTTTTACTTTTTGAACTCTATACGTAACGTTATAAAATATATGATAGGCTATATATAGAATATCCTATATTCTGTATTGCACTTGATCTGATTTCCTTGACCTGTCTCAGTAGAATATGCAATTATTATTTTTTGTTTTTTATGATAACGTCATCAATCTCAGTTTATATCAATAAAATTTTACAGTATTTTAATGAATTAATATTTATTCTTAATTAATAACACAAAACAGTTTTAATTATGTTATAAATTAAAATAAAATAAATATTAATTTAATGGGCGAATTTAATGAATAAATATTTCATTGCTTTTATAATATGGCAAAAAATGATTTATAGTTTAAAAAAATTAATCGGCGAGTTTCCTTTAAATTTATAATTTTAATTAATTTTCTCATTTTCTTACTCGAAATTCCATTAACTTCGAGTGCAATAATCTTACTTGAAGATGCCATTATCTTCGAGTAAGATTATTTTAGTTTCATGTCGTTAACTATAATAACGTTATATTAGTATGATCTTGTGCAGTGAATCATGCTTGTTGATCCATTATAACTAGTATGAGGATTTCTTTGCACTTAAAATCTGAAAAACATATAAGGTAATATGCTCCCAAAACTGGTAAAATATGCAAAATAATATGCGACCTTTTCATTTCGATTTTTTAAACAACACTGTATACAACGATTAGGCTTTTATATTGATTTGAAAGCACTAGGCTCTGCTGAAACAGTGCGAAACCAAAAATTGTTCCATATGTTTGGGAGTAATGTTGTGTTGATTTCAATTTAGAGAGATTAGTCTAGAGGTATGTGAGTAGCAACACGAATATGACAAGAGTGTCATGTGTCACGAACTCGTCAGTGACTGGTCTCACCGGGCGAATTGATACCACGTGATAGTCTGAACTTGTTCGTATTTCTACTCGCATAACTCGAGACTAGACACCCAGAATGAGTTAATACAGAACGATCTTTCGACATCACGACATGTTGCAGGTGTATACATGAAGTTAGCTGCGTTTTCTGATTTAATCTCTACTGCAAGAGGAACTTGAAATTTATTTCCTATCTTAAGTAAAATGTGAGATCAGTGATTTTTTTCAACTGATAAATGTAGATCAACGTTAATTCAGTTTTAACTCCCAAAATATTACGGTACAAACGAAAATTTTGACGGAAAAATCTGGTACAAACGAAGAGCATTTAGTTCAAATTATTATTTTTTATTCGGTAGAAACATCTGGGATTTAAAACATTCGCCAAGATACTGATAAATAGGTCAAGAAAGCTAATTTATCTGTAAATCCCAAAATATCACGATACAATCGAAAACTTTGATGAAATAATCCAATACAAACGAAGAACAATCGAAAGGCATACATTTTTAGTTTGAACAAACACTTGGAAGAGCTAATTTCACGGGTGTCTATTAATAATGTCCCGTTAAGTAAATAAATGTAGTTTTCTACCCTGACAATGAGTAACAATTCTCAATTCAATTACAAACTAGATGTCAATCAGCAAAACCTGAGATAATTTATAGCCAAGTGAAAATTCATATGTTTATTTTATTACCTTACCGGATCAAATTACAATAAAATATATTTGTTTCTTCACTAATAGGTGCATAAATAGACACAAGGCATTTTACATCATCTTTATTGATCTTCTATTGGCCGATACGCGTTTCGGGCAAGGCTCCTCCTCATCTGTCGGCTACACAATAAAACATATTATAAATTTCTTACATTATAAGTGTTTTATCATAATAAGTGGAAATGACGTAGGCGATTCTTTACAGGGTTATATCTCGTAAAGGGTCGCGCGCAGGGGTATGGTTATTTTGACTTTTTCGTTCGCACGGAGGGGTCTTCAATTCAGGGGGTCGCCGACCCGCTCATTCTCAGGGTAAACTGTGGCTAACAGGCAGTCACGTGACCCGTAGAACAATTTTCGGAGAGCTATATCTCGCGAAGAGTCGCGCGTAGAGGGTGGGCCATTGTTCGCACGGGAGGGCTACCCTTTGGGGGTGGAGACCCCTCATTCGGAGGGTAAACCTTACCTTTAAAATTATGTATTTACAGTTAAAATCGTTAAAATATCATTGCTGTTTAAAATATATTTATGATTTTAATTTACTATTACAAGTGAAGGTTTCGTGGTTCGACATCTAGCATTTTCTAGCGTATACTCTTTACGTCTGTGTTAACGTAATCTGTCTTAATCTCGTTGACATATTAACCTCTCGTTCTAAACTATTATATTATAAATAAATCTTTTAAAAAATTATTATTGTTATATTTTAACTAGCATTACCATTGTTATCGTAGTTGTTTTCTTTGGTAGTATTGTAAACAGTATTACAACAATTTTAGCCAATTATCGTGGATTTTAACACTTAGAGCCTGTACACACTAGGCGTTTTTCAACCGCATCTAAAATAGTATAAATAGAAATAGAGTTCTTCACGGTAAGCCTTAATCCTGTCCATCACCCCAGTGGGAGAAATTTCGACATGTATACACGTGCGTATTCGAATGCAGCGTTGTGTCAAAATTTCAAAGTAATCAGTAGGAACAAACGAACATTACATTTTTATTTACATAGATAGATTGAAGATGATCTGCTTTAGTTCATCCTCACAGAAAAGCAAACTTAGGTCGTTGTACTCGTAGCGCCATCTGTTGGACATAAAAGCCTTAACCCTAAATGATATCTTTTAATTTATATGAATGTTTAACGAAATAATATACAGCCTATGTTTACCCTGAAGTTCCATTCTAAATATTGGTGAAAGAATTTTTGAAATCGGACGAGTAGTTTCGGAGATTACCCCTACATACAAACTTACAAACATTATCTCTTTATAATATTACTATAGATGTAGGTTCAAGATTTTAAAATGCGGTGTTGCACAGCAAAATTATACAAATTGATGACAAGAAAAAAATTTTAAGCCATATATATCTATTTGCATTATATTTAGTTTAATAATAATAAATAAATAAATAATAAAATTTAATCGAAATTTAAAACACTCAATAGATAAATGACAAGTTTAAGATTTCGTTAAACGAGAATTCCAATAGAGATTCTATGTTAAGATTTTGGTTTGCACATATAACTAATATAATAATGCTACATTAACCTGCTTCACTCATCCAGATGAAATATTTCAGTAGAATCAGGCTAGTACCATCAAATTTTTACTTAAAAAACGAAAGTTACGTATTCATTACACCAAAAATAATTTACTTTTACAATGACTAATATAAAAATAGGTTATTACCATTGCATCAATACCGGTGACTTCAAGTGTTGCGATTGAGATTGTAGGCGAAATTCATTCCCACACAATTTTAGATCTATATAAATTACGACAATTTTATCTGCTATCAATCGTCAACTATCGTAAACTGCAAAAGAAAATGAAGTTTCTACTTATTGTATTGGCTCTTTTTGTATTAGCAAAAGAGGGAAGAAGTCTCGATGCATTCGACATTGTCGATAAATATTGTGGTAAGTTCGATTTTTACACTGTTTAAAATCATAAAATGTTCACAATTTTAATTGTTTTTTTACGTGAGTTTTGTATATTTAAATCTTTTATGAATATATTTCTAATATGTAGAATACGTAAATTCGTAGAGTAATATGACGTGTAAACAATTAACATTTTTAATAATTTGGATACTTTTCCTGTAGCTACAAAAGACCAAGACGCTATAAAAAAGTGTATGGCAGAAAGTGGAAAATCAAAGGTAAAACCTGATTGGAATAAATTACAAAATTAACAGAAATTTCCACGTGACCAATGTATCGAAAATAATTCATTTACACTTTCAGCTCTTCATTCATTTTGAAAGTTGTGCCAGACCACTACGAAGACACGTCAGCAATAGCAAAGAAACGTCCAAATTTATCTGCAAAGAGGCAAACGAAAAGGTATTTTAATTGTCATACATCACCATAATTTATACTTGTTAATTACAGTTAAGAATTATATTTTAGGAGGATTTCTTAATCCGATGCTGCTTGGCCTACAAGCTGAGAAAGGACAGAGATTCTTCGCTTCCTCGAATCTTCGAGGTATTTAATCGTAAATCTGAATTTTCTGCCGTTTCGATCAAAGAAATTAATTATTTTCGAATTATTACAGGCGTGTGTGAATAGAGTTCAATCTGAAGTCACGTCTCAACCTATAATGCAGCAACAGGGTTATATACCTAATGGGCAACAACTCGGGTATTTGTCATCAGTTCAACAAGGATCTATATCTCAACCGAATGCACCGGTTGGAGGTGTCGATGATGGTCAGTTTTTTACATTTATTATTTAAATTGTCATAGAAGTTTTGATCGATGTTGCTTATGGGATTTTCCTTTTACAGATATTCCATATTTAGGACTGTACTAAGAAAGCTGACGAAGAACTTATTTATTTAAATTAATTTTTATATTTACGATATTGTAAATTATCTTTACTACGATTTTCAATAAAGATTCTCAGAATTCCTTGCAAATTTTCATTATTTTTTTATAACTTTATTTTAAATTTTAATATTTTAAAATTTTTCTCTCGCATTTTTAGATATAATTTTTTTTTAATGATCTAAATTGAACTGAGTTTTAAAAACACCATGTTTATATAAGGAAAATTTAATATAATTCGGAGAAGTGCCATTAAAAGTCGGGAGGATGAGCAATAGCGTAGTGATTTCGGTACACGAAATCACTACGCTATTGTTCCAAGTCAGAAGCAATAGTTACTGCGACTGGCAATATTGTTGATGCGCAAGAACATAAGACAACAAACTGACAAAATGGCGGCACCTCTCTAACAGACACAATTGAAGAGCAGTGTTGTCTAATCCGACTTTTATGAAAAACCAATCGACATCCATTAAAACGTTCAAATACAGTGAGGAGACACTTGCGAATAGATTTCTAAGATTCAAAACCTGCCACAGTTCTGTGAAAAATCTTCATGGCTGGAATTGTAGTAAATGCAGCGGAGAATCTTTTACGAAAGTTTGGTGAACTTTCGAGTATCTGATGTTATTCATTTCATTGAACTTTAAATGTGTTTCATTATGGTTCAATGTTTTGAAATTTTTCCCNAGACGAGTATAATTATTTTAATTAAATAAGATTTTCTTCTTTCGTCGAGCATTGCGATATCCGATATCCTTTACAAATTCAGTTCTTGTAAATTTTTTAAATACAAACAGAAAAAGGTACGTTTCTCGGAGCAATAATAATGGGATGAAGGGTGTCATTTAAGTATTTTAAATTAATTAAGTCCTTACCTGAAATAAAAGTAAAATCATTACTAATTAATCAACAATATGTTAATTAAACTTGAATACGATGCATTTTTCACAATAATACAATTCTAACAAATGAATTATTTGTTACTTCTTGTTAATTTCTGAAGCATTGTTTCGATTCAAATGTTTTTCTAATTACGCGATTTTTAAAATAAAATTACTTAAATATAACATATACATAAATAAATTCAAATAAATATGATTTAAAATGTTATCATATGATTTTATTTTTCAAAATATTACATTGTTTTTGTGTTTTCGAATGCACGTGCTTATAATTTATGTAGCAGACAGGCAGAGAAGATTCAAGTGATGAAAAAAATTTGGTGCACGCCAGCAATATAAAAACTATCGTGTCTCGAATGAACAATGCTAATGTAATTTTAATCTAAAGGAAATTTAACTGTTATACAATTATATCTGGAAAATCTAGAAAGTACTGTCAGATTTGCAAGAATTGAGAAATAGTTAGTTTTTTGGTGTTGTCATTTTAACATATAATCTAGGTATATTTTATGGTTTTTCTGAAACACTAAAAACGTAGATGTAAAAATAAAATACAGTAGAGTCTCTGTAATTTAACATATTTTGGACCGGCGGTGTCGGATTAATGGATTTCATATATATATATTTATTGTATGTGTTGTACAGAAAAAAGCACGATTGGTTCACATATCTGAGTATCATGCGTATTATAAATTATGAGACAATTTGATCAGCATTGTTCTGCTGACAAACAACTGGTAGTATACGTGATCAGTCTCTGTTACATGTATCGACAAGCGGTAACACGAAAATTTTCGATTGGCGAGTTATAACGAACTATAAACACTTTGCGGTAGTTCGTTGTTTTAGAGTTAACTCAAAAAGTTTTTGAAAAAACGAACAATTAATTATTGTAACGTTGTCACAATGCCGGGCTGCAATTTTTAAGCTACTTCTGCCTTAATTTGGCTGCCGCTGCACTAGTGCAGAGAGATTCTGAGGGCTGAAAAGAGAACTGAAGATGGTGCCATCGTAAATTATATGCATATTACTTAAAATTAAAATTGTGACATACGAAAATACATTCTGAACTGGTTATCGGAACAATTTGAAATGCATTTTTCCACATAATCTTCTATACCGACCTAGATGTTTTCAGATTTATTAGTAATGGTTAATGCACGCGTGATACTGTTGTTGTTTACCAAATAAATAAAGCATTTTTACACAATAACGAATTTTTCTGATCGGCTGCCTCCAATATATCGATACATTAAGTATTCTTTCGAAAAGAAAATAGAACAAATTACAGTATTCTTAACAATTATTTTTCAAACGTGGAATAAAATCATGTTCGTGCGCAAGTGCCATATCGTTTAGTATTACAGAAAGCCATCGTATAGACGTATTACCGAAAAATACACGGTTCATACGAGATAAACAATCAAAACATCGACGTCATAAATTTCCCATGTCAATTGTTTTCCTGCATCAGTCGTTTTTTCCCCAAGTCCTGCCAGAAACGATAGATCGAGGTTTCACTGTATAATGTTCTTGTGCCATCCTCGTATTTACAGTTTAACCTGATCGTGAACGGATCTTTGTCATAGCCATTAAACAGTAGTGTCATTCTTTATCTCTGAATTACAAAATGTAGCATTTTGTATTGCAAGAAACATTGCTATCATCAAATCACACAATTTTCAACTTTCAAATCTCAAACTTGGTATAGATTCTTCGGTTTAGCATCAACACTCGATTTAGTATCAATTTCTGAAGACGAAGAAATGGCAATATGTGATGGATATATGTATCATTAAAATGTAAGTTTTACGTAGAAAATACTCATTTAAATTGTAAATAAGCGATAAAGGTATTTTGCTGAAAAATCAAAATTCTCAAAATTAGATATGAGATTTTATCAGCCAAATAGAAAGTAATTCTAAGCGTAAGAAACATCAAATGAGCATGTTTAAAATTATGGAAAATAGACTAATTATAATTGCAAATAAATAAATATTGTAGAAACCTACGGTGTACCCTATGTTTACACGTGTGGTTACACGTGTAAACAGGGTAAACCGGAGTAATGTGATAAACCAGGTTAAAATGTGAACACGTGTAATTACTGTGAAAACAAAAAGGTGGTGCCACATGTAGGCATATTGTATTAGTTGAAAGCTAGGCTTACTTTGTACGAAGTTTACGCGAAATTGCTGTAGAAACAGGCGAATAAATCAAATGTTTCTGTTTCTGACTTGNTATTAAATATCACATTACTACGGTTTACCCTATGTTTACACGTGTAAACAAAGGGTAAACAGGAGTAATGTGATAAACCAGGTTAAAATGTGAACACGTGTAATTACTGTGAAAACAAAAAGGTGGTGCCACATGTAGGAATATTGTATTAGTTGAAAGCTAGGCTTACTTTGTACGAAGTTTATGCGAAATTGCTGTAGAAACAGGCGAATAAATCAAATGTTTCTGTTTCTGACTTGCAGAATTTTTTACACACGTTTACTGTAGCCACGAAAATCTTAATATTAGCGGCATACTTTCGTTTCTAGCATATAATACTTTAGAAGCTTGAATAACCTGTAACCGATCAAAAATAACAGAGTAGTTCTGGTAGAGGGCTCACTCATAAACTGTTCATCAACTAAACTACACTTTTAAGGATAAGATGGTGATGTAGATATTTTATTTTTTTCGAATCCGATCTTCGTAAACACTATTGTTTTGCTGATTGTTGTTTTGTTTGACATGATAGTAAAATATTAGTTCAGTCTGGATGATTTAACATTCTTTAGAATAATATGGCTTTATTTATGGCCAGTTTTTAAATATATAAATGCCTCAAGGAAAGAACGTGTTTACCTACTTTTTCAATTTACTGGGAAAACACCCTAAAGTTTCGAATTTGCACTGTATTTTTGAACGGATGTCAGGTGATTAATGACACTGATAGAGGCTGATAGGGTCGTTCCGTGACAAGTTATAGATTATAGGTCTGAAAATTTAATATCTGAAGTGTGCTGAACATGTTAACCATCCTTATTTTTACCTGTGGAGATACTTGTGGGTGTTAGTGTACCGGGAAAAATTTCAAAACATTGAACCATAATGAAACACATTTAAAGTTCAATGAAATGAATAACATCAGATACTCGAAAGTTCACCAAACTTTCGTAAAAGATTCTCCGCTGCATTTACTACAATTCCAGCCATGAAGATTTTTCACAGAACTGTGGCAGGTTTTGAATCTTAGAAATCTATTCGCAAGTGTCTCCTCACTGTATTTGAACGTTTTAATGGATGTCGATTGGTTTTTCATAAAAGTCGGATTAGACAACACTGCTCTTCAATTGTGTCTGTTAGAGAGGTGCCGCCATTTTGTCAGTTTGTTGTCTTATGTTCTTGCGCATCAACAATATTGCCAGTCGCAGTAACTATTGCTTCTGACTTGGAACAATAGCGTAGTGATTTCGTGTACCGAAATCACTACGCTATTGCTCATCCTCCCGACTTTTAATGGCACTTCTCCGAATTATATTAAATTTTCCTTATATAAACATGGTGTTTTTAAAACTCAGTTCAATTTAGATCATTAAAAAAAAATTATATCTAAAAATGCGAGAGAAAAATTTTAAAATATTAAAATTTAAAATAAAGTTATAAAAAAATAATGAAAATTTGCAAGGAATTCTGAGAATCTTTATTGAAAATCGTAGTAAAGATAATTTACAATATCGTAAATATAAAAATTAATTTAAATAAATAAGTTCTTCGTCAGCTTTCTTAGTACAGTCCTAAATATGGAATATCTGTAAAAGGAAAATCCCATAAGCAACATCGATCAAAACTTCTATGACAATTTAAATAATAAATGTAAAAAACTGACCATCATCGACACCTCCAACCGGTGCATTCGGTTGAGATATAGATCCTTGTTGAACTGATGACAAATACCCGAGTTGTTGCCCATTAGGTATATAACCCTGTTGCTGCATTATAGGTTGAGACGTGACTTCAGATTGAACTCTATTCACACACGCCTGTAATAATTCGAAAATAATTAATTTCTTTGATCGAAACGGCAGAAAATTCAGATTTACGATTAAATACCTCGAAGATTCGAGGAAGCGAAGAATCTCTGTCCTTTCTCAGCTTGTAGGCCAAGCAGCATCGGATTAAGAAATCCTCCTAAAATATAATTCTTAACTGTAATTAACAAGTATAAATTATGGTGATGTATGACAATTAAAATACCTTTTCGTTTGCCTCTTTGCAGATAAATTTGGACGTTTCTTTGCTATTGCTGACGTGTCTTCGTAGTGGTCTGGCACAACTTTCAAAATGAATGAAGAGCTGAAAGTGTAAATGAATTATTTTCGATACATTGGTCACGTGGAAATTTCTGTTAATTTTGTAATTTATTCCAATCAGGTTTTACCTTTGATTTTCCACTTTCTGCCATACACTTTTTTATAGCGTCTTGGTCTTTTGTAGCTACAGGAAAAGTATCCAAATTATTAAAAATGTTAATTGTTTACACGTCATATTACTCTACGAATTTACGTATTCTACATATTAGAAATATATTCATAAAAGATTTAAATATACAAAACTCACGTAAAAAAACAATTAAAATTGTGAACATTTTATGATTTTAAACAGTGTAAAAATCGAACTTACCACAATATTTATCGACAATGTCGAATGCATCGAGACTTCTTCCCTCTTTTGCTAATACAAAAAGAGCCAATACAATAAGTAGAAACTTCATTTTCTTTTGCAGTTTACGATAGTTGACGATTGATAGCAGATAAAATTGTCGTAATTTATATAGATCTAAAATTGTGTGGGAATGAATTTCGCCTACAATCTCAATCGCAACACTTGAAGTCACCGGTATTGATGCAATGGTAATAACCTATTTTTATATTAGTCATTGTAAAAGTAAATTATTTTTGGTGTAATGAATACGTAACTTTCGTTTTTTAAGTAATAAAAACAATAAATATCACTAATTAAAAATAGTTCATAAAATTTACTACTAGGACATAAAATTTGATTTTGTCTGTATTGATAAACAACTGACACGGTTCATTGAAAACGATCGCATAGAGAAATAATACAATACAGTAATACCTCGACTTACGCTACCCCGACTTACGCGAACCCGGAGTTACGCGATTTTCAAATCTCGTCGATTCGTCTTTTGTTTGAGCGCCACGCAACTCTTGACTACTCACTCTCCCATACTATAGTTTAGCTTACATGTTCGGACGTGTCGCGCGGAATCCACATATATCTACAATTTATTTTGTGTTATTTATTTCTGTGTTTGTTATATCTACGGAGACTCGAGAGACTCTACTATGTCATCCAAACGAAGTAGAACTGATTCTTCTGCATCAAACAAGAAAAGAAAAACTTTATCTTTGGAATGTAAAGTTAACATTATTAAAGACTTCGATACAAAAATGAAAATTTGTGAATTGGCAAAGGAATTTGATCTACCGGAATCGACAATCAGAACAATTATAAAAAGTAAAGAAAAAATTCTCGAAGCTGTGAAAAATGCTCAAAAAACCTTTAAATTCAAGCATCATTCGTAAACGTCACGGTATTATCGCTGAGATAGAAACAATGTTAAAATTATGGTGTGGTGATCAACTAAATGTGAAAAATTGAATAATAATATAATTTGTTAGACATATGTATTATCTAAAATTTTATTAAACATTTTTTTCTAAATTATTCTTTTCTTTAGTCTTCAGCCCCAATTAAAAATTATTTGTATGTATTTAAATGCGAAATTATACCCCGACTTACGCGGTTATCGCTCGGTCCCACCTATCGCGTAAGTTCGGGGTATTACTGTATAATAAATAGTTCCATTTTATCACAAACTAAACAATTTATCAGAAATAATAATAATTTTCGACATAATGTTTTGTTTCTGAAAAATGACATATTAAATAAATTGTATAATTAATTATTTAATTAATCATTTGTAAAAAATCATTTATAAGTCAAGGAAATGGGATCAAGTGCAATAGACAATAAGGTAAAATATATTTTATAAGTTGCGTACAGAGTTCAAAAAGTGAAAGGGAAATTCCATCAAATTATATATTTTTAAATGTTTCAAACTGATAATTATGTGTGTGGGTTCGAAGACGTAGTTTTTTTTTTTTGTTATGGTTTGAATAGCAGCGACATAAATAAACGATAATGTTAACGTTGCTCTATACATTACCTAAAAATTAAAGTTTTATTTATAAAATTAATTTATTTCAATTTTAAATAAGCGATGAATATGTTACACGTTTAGCGATTACTGGATAAATTTCCACACAAATTGAAATATTTAACAATTAATTTAAAATAAAAATGTAGTAAAACTTTATAAAGTTTGGTGTTTAAATTAAAATGTGAGGCTACGAGTCTATGGCTGAGAGCCTCACATTTTTATGTAAAACATTATTTGGTAGAGACGAATTGTCTGTTGTATGTTATATGCTTTGGGCCACAAAAATCTAAGTGACATTTGTAAATTAATTTGTTATGATTCATGCAAAATAGAACAATTATTTGAGCATTTAATAAACTTTATTTCTTTATTGTTATTTTATAAAAATATTATTAAAAGCTTATAAAACAATTTAAGAAAATTTGACAACGCAATAATAAATCGAGAAATTATTTATTTTTTGCACTTTTTTTACATACTTCTTGATAAATGTTTGTAGATGTATCAATAAAGAGAAATTATTATTTCCGACATCGTCACAATGACGGGCTACAATTTATTTTTATATATTTTTTAGAATTAATTTAATTTAATAAAATATATGTTCTCCACCTCAAATAGCGTCTTGCTCCTGTACATACTACTATTCTTCTTAGCAATGGAATCCTGCCGTCATCTAAGTCGTTACAGGGAAAAATTTTTAAATTGAAATAACGTAATTTTCGGTTTACATCAGAGGTTTATATACAATTAATCTGGGCATATTGCCCCTATGCTTTCCAATTATTTTTTCGGATTTCATCTATCTAGCTGTATTCTCGAGATTAACAAAATTCAGACAGACAGACAAACGGATGTTTATAATCGTCACAGTTTTCCATGTTATCGATCTATAAATTAAAAATATTACTTTTTTACGGAGACACCTTGTCACAAGTATTTTAAATATATTAAATTTGATCACAACAGAAGAAATTTTTAATATATTGATACTTATAATATTTTCTCAATAACAATGATTGATGATAAGAATATATATATTACGTCCCTTCCTGTATTTTCATTAAGGTGCGATATTACTTTACCCGGAAGTTATATATAACAAAAGGAGAGTACTGCGATCGGTCAAAAAGTCACCTCAAGATTTTTACATTTTTTGAATTGAAGAGACCTTGAAACATCAAGAAACGCGAAAAAATTTGGCAGTTTTTCTGTATGTATGTGGGAGGCACGATTTTTTTCCATCCAATTTGATGCTTAATAACTCATATATCTTTTGTCGAAAATTTCTGAAATTTTGCAGGGTGATTTGCTGTTAAATTTTGATAATTAAAAGTCTAGGAGATGGAAAGATAGAGGAGGGTCATTTGTCATATCTTTAGTTGTATCGGACTTAACGAAGATTTTACTCGTTATTAGCATATATATCTATGTTTCATTTCTACGTTTTAAATTAAGCTTTTTGCTATTTTATAATAATTAATAATATAAAATGTTTTTCAAAAATAAAGTATCATAACTGATGGCGCAACACCCAATTTTAAATTTTTTGCAGAGAAAGTTACGTACTCGTTGCTGGAATTTTGTGATTGCATGAAAGATTTTTCTGACAAATGAGATAATGAAAACGAAATTATGAAATGCATTATTTTATTTAAAAACTGAAGGTTATATATTTAATGCTATAAATTAATTAACTTTTACATTGACTAATACGAAAATAGGTTACTATCGTTGCATGATTATAAATGACATCAAACTGTAGACGAAACTGCTTCCCACATCGATTATGGAACTATATATATATATTCCAGTAAATTTATATGCTATCAATCGTCAACAATCGGAAACTGCGAAAGAAAATGAAGTTTGTATTCATCGTATTGGCTCTTTTTGTATTAGCAAAAGAGGGAAGAAGTCTCGATGCATTCGACATTGTCGATAAATATTGTAGTAAGTTCAATTTTTACACTTTTTAAAAATCATATAACATTGAAAACTCATATGTTGCATACATTTTCAATATTAAAGTTAAACGTGTAACATATTTATAAATGTGTAATTTGCTAATATTTATAAGTGTCACAGCATGCAAAATATATTAATAACTACAGTTTTAATTTCATGCAGCTACAAAAGACCAAGATGCTGTCAAGAAATGTATGACAGAAAATGGAAAGTCAAAGGTAAACGTTCTAATGAAATTCGAAAAAATAGATATTTCTTTATGTACTATTCACAAATTGGAAATAATTAAATTATATATACTTATAGTTATTCAGTCATTTTGAAAGTTGTGCCAGACCTCTGCGAAGACATGTCAGTAATAGCAAAGAAACGTCCAAATTTATCTGCAAAGAAGCAAACGAAAAGGTATTTTAATTGTCATATACATAGGATGATATAACATGTAATTTCCAATTATAATTAAAAATATTCTTAGGAGGATTTCATGTTTCGGTGCTGTCTGGCATACAAACTGAAAAAGGCTCGAGATTTCTCTCTTCCTCGAATTTTTGAGGTATGTAACCATGAATCTAACATATTTCCTCTCTAATGTTAATGAAAAACTTATAATTCTGAAAAAAATTGCAGTCGTGTGTGAATAGAGTTCAATCTGAAGTCACATCTCAACCTATAATGCAGCAACAGGGTTATATATCTCAACCTTATGAACAACAATTCGGTTATTTATCTCAGTCAACGAATCAACAAGGACTCATAACCCAACCAAACAACGATGGTTAGTTTTAAAAAATTGAATAAAATATAATACATTTAAGAAGAGTTTTTCTTATTCGAATTTTTATTTTTCAGATATTCCATATTCAGGACTGTATTGAAAATGCGTGTGTCGACTGTTGTCATCTATCTATTTATTTATATTTGTACATGTACGAAATAGTAATAAAATTTTTATAACTCGACGAGTGAGATTCATTTTATAGTTAAAATTAATGAAATACAGTAAAATCTTGAAATTCGGAGATTTTAAAATACCAAACTCCTGTGAAATTGCAGTGTGTTCTCCCTGCGTGAAATAGCTACTATAACGATGCACTGTGGAGAATTCTTAATCGGTAAAAGCTAGGAAAACAAATCACTGTACACTAAAATTTGCTAACTCTAATTTTGTCATTTTATAATAGTTAAAAACATAAAATGTTTTTAAAATGAAATATTATAGCAAAATTTTGTCACCAAAATTTTAAATGTTGCCGGGGAAAGTAAAGCAACTCGTTGCTGGATTTTTTCTCGATTCAAAACAGAAAAATTAATTAAGTTGTTCATTAAAACAATTTGATTTTATATTACATCTGCTATCACCTTCAAAACCCGAAATCGATTTTTATATATTTTTTTAAGTTTTCGAAATGAAACAATTATGTTTCTTAACCTATAACCTCAGGTTTTTAAGCGATTTAGTTGTTTCCATAGTACAGTCGGTCTTGAGTGTCCATAAGATTTGACAATATTTTATTGTTTTGTGAATTTCTGTGAATTTCGGAAAATGTATACACGTCAGTAATAGCAAAGAAACGTCCAAATTTATCTGCAAAGAAGCAAACGAAAAGGTATTTTAATTATCCTTCCACAAATAGGTAAAAATCTTAAGATTATCAGTTATACGCAAGCATTCAAAAGATTTAAAAAGCTTAACTTGGAAATTGACGATCATAGAATTGATAAAGATGATTTGGAAGATATTGAAATTGCCGTACCGAAATTATTGAAATGCCAGCGTTGGAAGACGCTAGCATTTCAATTATTGACTGCTGCATTGTGCGGAATGAGGAAGAAAATTTTGAATGTTGACTATTTTCTATTAATTTCTTTTTGTAAAATTCTTTCCGCTTTATTGTACTAAGAGACAGAGCTGTCATAACAGCGTTATGGATCCTGGAACAGCAATGGGCTAGTAGCGCAATGGGATTCCAACCTATAAATATTGATAAAATTATGCATATTTTTATTGGTTTTCCCACGAAAACTCAGTGTTTAAACATTAGAAAATGTGCTGTACAGAAAAGATTAATCAACTTAATACACTTATAACACGAACCCCGAAAGACAAAAATTTCAACATATAAATGATACTCGTTTGGGAAAAAATACAGACGGAAATGATACATTACGAGATCAATTAATCACACAAACATTTGCGAAATTCTTTGTAGATAACTGCTTTATGACTGTCTTGAAGTATATAGTCTTCTGTCATATATGAGTGAAAGCCAGTACAAATGCTACTGCCCAACTGTGCTGCAAATCGAATTTCTTTTACAAGTTTGTCTGGAAAGCAAAGGTTCTCCTGCACAGTTGGTCACTATCATGCACACGAATAATTTGAAATTGCACTGAGTGTAATTTCAAAATTGGGAGGCACGTTGATTGGGAAACACAAAATTGTGATTTTAAGTTGTACGACATATTCTTTTTGTACAATGAAAATAGTCTCATAACTTTTATTAACTAAATTAGCGTGTGGCCCCTGTGCTCTGGATGCCTAAAGATATTAAATATCATTAGTTTTTTCTAAACTATTCTTGTATAAATAAAAACATATAAGCTGTAATCATTGTTTATTTTTCTAACTGTATAATGAATGAAATGATTGTTAGAAAATGTTCTTACAACACATGAATCCATCTTTATTGTCTTCGATATGTATTATTTGTTTAATAATCAGCATGAAAAAATTATTGAAAAAATTGTTTGATTACTAAATTTTTAATTGAAAAATTTCAAGTGAGTTATATCAATTATTAATTTTCTTTATGTATTCTCAGTGTTATATTCCCATAGGAGTGGCGTGGTGCACTTATTCTAATTTAAAAAAAAAAAAAAAAACAGCAAATCTTAAACGTGTAACATATTCATTGCTTATTTAAAATTTAAATAAATTAATTATGTAAATAAAACTAATTTGTACATAATATATATAGGAACAGTGTGTATTATCATTTATTTGTATAATCTTGCTGTTATTGAAACGATAATAATAATATTAAAAAAATCTAGCAACGAGTTACATAACTTTTCCGGCTGTTATGAGATTTTGTTACGAAAAGCTTTTTATATTGCGCATTAAATTAATTACGTGAACAGGGATGAATTTTATTAAAAAATTGTAAATGCTAACAGCGAGTAAAATCGTCATTAATTAATCCGACCCCACTCGATATATGACACATGACCTCATCTGTCCCCTCGACCTTTAACCACCAAAATTTGACAGCATTAATGCATCTTATACACAACCTATCGTGCCAAATTTCGTTTGTTAACCCATTAATGCTAAAATATTGATTTTATTGTGAGTTATAAAACTTTATATTATTTCTTTGTCAAACAATTTAACATTGGGGTGAAGGATCTCGATTGAACCGTTCTCCATTATATAGTTCTTTCACTTCAGAGAGATCAAACCCAACTGATCTGTTCAATTCAATGGATATAAATCGGCAGGACCCGAGTTATATTCAGTCTGATAATATAAATGAAGATAATAAAATATATTTCGATTTATATTAAAAATAATTGACAATATTAATCGATAAATTCAAAACCGGACACTTATTTCAGAGTTGGCCCAAGTTTAATTGTATCAAAAGACAATTTTTTAAATAAATTCTATTAATGATTTATATTCCTGTATATGCCATTGTTGCTGTTTGATGACCCATATAAAGTACAATATATCCCTATTACGATTGTTCACTTTATTCCCTAATTGAAATAAGCCTTGTATTTACTCTGTGTTAATTAAATTAATGTTAAATTTAACATAAAATGTGTAATTTTTTAATTAGATAACTTAAACAAATATCTTTTAAAATAAGAAAAGATTAAATGTTTTATATTAAATATAAAAGTTAGTGAAAAAATTATAAATTAAAAATGAAAATTTGCATGAAACTTAAAATTTCAAACTTTATTAAGGCTCATTGTAAAGAAGATAATTTACAATATCGAAAAAATAAAAATAATTTAAATAAATTAAGTTCTTTTTATCAGTTTTCTTAATACAGTCCTAAATATGGAATATCTATAAAAAAAAGAAAATCGTCATAAGAAAGATTTATCAAAAATTATATGACATTTAAAAGAATAATTTAAAAACTGACCATCATCGGTGCCTCCAACCTGTGCATTCGGTTGATATACAGATCCTTGTTGAGCTGGCGACAAATAACCAAGTTGTTGCCCATATGGTACATAACCCTGTTGCTGCATTATAGGTTGAGACGAGACTTCAGATTGAACTCCTCTATTCACACACGACTGAAATAAATTTACAATTATAATTAAAATTACAATTATTCGAAAACAGAGAAAAATTACATTTATGATTACATACCTGAAAGATTCTAGGAAGAGAAGAATCTCTGTCCTTTTTTAATTTGTATGCCAGACAGCATCGAATTAAGAAATCCTCCTAAGATATATAGATTAATTGTAATTAGTAGAGATAAATAAACACACAAAAATATAACTAACAATATTAAAATACCTTTTCGTTTACTTCTTTGCAGATAAATTTTGATGTTTCTTTACTATTTCTCATGTGTCTTCGAAGAGGTCTGGCGCAGCTTTCGAAATAAGTAAACAGCTAAAAGTATAAATAATTTAATTATTTTCAATTTTTTAATCATAAAAATATCTGCTTTTTTACACTTTATTTCAGTTTTTACCTTTGACTTTCCATTTTCTGCCATACACTTTTTTAAAGCGTCTTGGTCTTTTGTAGCTACACACGAAAATGTTCAAATTATTAGGAATTTTAATTATGACTTTAAACATGTATATGATAATAACACTCTTATTTATAAAAGCTTAAAATACTGTAAATATATATTTAATTTAAATATATAAGAACTTTAAAGAGATCTTACCACAATACTTATCCAGAATGTCGAATGCATCGAGACTTCTTCCTTCTTTTGCTAATACAAAAAGAGCCAATACAATGAGTAGAAACTTCATTTTCTTTCGTAGTTTACGATTGACAACAGATAAAATTATCGGAATTTATATAGATCTAAAGTTGATGTGGAAAGCAATTTCGCCCACTCTCTGATGCCCACTCTCTCATATTGATGCAACATTAGCAACCTACTTTTAAGTTAGTCGTTATGTAAATTAATTTATCTTTGATACGCAACTAATAACTTTTTTAAAAGGTTAAAAAAACTAAAAATTTCAATAATTACTTAGCAAATACTTTATAACAGAACGAGTATTATGACGACAACTTTTTGTTTGGAGTTCTAAAACTGTGCCAATTTACTATCTTTTAATTCCTATAAACAATACAAGAAACGCAATAAAAATTTTATTTATTCTTTAATAATCTTATTTAAATTATATATAAAAACATTGCTTTATTTAAGACTAGTTTAATTTAAATAATTTAAGGAATTTCCTTTTCTTTTTTTAACTTTTTCCTTCTATTTTCTATATAGCACTTGACCCGATTTACTTGATCTATTTAATTAAATTTGTATTAATTTCCGTATTTGTCTCTTAAATTGAAGGCTGCCCGAAATTTTCGTGTGTTAACGGGACATGCTTTATTTTGAAATTTAAGAGTTATGTAAAATTTTTTAATCTAAGTACTCGTTTCATTTATTTATATCAATAGAAAATTATATCATTGAATATAATTAATATTTTCTTACACGAACGTAATTACACAATAAAATGTTTTATCACTCTGCAATGATGCTCGTTCCAATCTTTAATGTTTGAATGTTGGACTGATTTTTAAAAAAATTGTATCACACATGCACTTGTGTCCCTCTCGAGAATTGATTTATTTATTTATATTTTTTTTTGTAATAATAATTTTATAAAACAAGTATTTTGTCAATTTGTTTTAATAGTTATGTTACCGCTAAAGCTCGGAAACTCGTTAATCTGCAGATTACCTAGCTAATCTGCAGATTAACTAGCGTGATTCGTTAAAGTTGCTAAAATTGTTATATTTCTCAAATTACCTAGGTAATGTGAGAAATAGCACTCCGTAAAGTAAAAATAAGATCTTTGCTGAAACAACAGCAACGTTTCTGTACGCTTAAATTAACATAATGTTCTTTATTTTATTTTCGATATCTAAAGAATTAAGTTAATACAATCAAGCAATCGACAAATTAGTTGATAGAATCAATCATCAACCAATTAAAAAACATACAAAAAATCAAACGATTTAAAATATTAATACAATTAGGGAAATTATTATATAGATAACCACCTATGGAATTTCGGGACTTTGAGTATCTATCTGAACTGAGGGGACCGAGACGACTTCAACGATACCCTACTTTTGGACCGGAGACGAAAAATAATAAAGTTATCATACTTTTTCTGGTGATCGCATGATATAATTGTGCAGTTAATGTTACCTATGGTGAGTAAAATGGCGGCTCGTCTCTGATTCCAGCAAACAGAAGAAAGGAAACAGTGGGGACGCACGTTCTGTCCTAACCTAACCTATTTTAATAAATTACCATAATTATTACCAACCAAATTATTAGAATAGGTTAGGTTAGGTTTGAACGTGCGTCCCCACTGTTTCCTTTCTTCTCTTTGCTGGAATCAGAGACGAGCCGCCATTTTACCCACCATAGGTAACATTATCCAATTGTGCAGTCTAAAGATTGGTGACACTTTGAATTTCATAGCAATTGGTTTCTGCGACAAGCACACCTATTTGTGGTACATTTATTTGTGGCAAAGATCTTATTTTCACTTTACCGAGTGCCTAGTAGGTAATGTGCGGATTACCTAGATACTCTGCACATTATCTAGGTAATTTGAGAAATGGAACAATTTTAGCAACTTTAACGGATCACGCTAGTTAATCTGCAGATTAGCTAGGTAATCTGCAGATTAACGAGTTTCGAGCTTTAGCGGTAACAGTTACATTAACTGTAATCCGCATAACAACGAGATGGTCCCTCTAACTCTTCTTTAAACTAAATGCAGGCAGTGTCCTGTGTATTATTTGTGGAAGACATTATGTTTTAGAGTAAAGTTTGTTTTTGTTATTTTTTAAATATGTATTTATTGTTTAGGCCTGTTCTTACAATGATTATAGATGAAGATAAGGTAAGGATAAATAAAACTTTTTAATGACTATGATTTTAGCGAATCAACTGATTGGTTATTTGAACAAAGTTGTGAATCCTTTAGACAAAAACCCTTCAGTTTGGATAGAGGAAGGAAGAAGAATCATTTATTCAAGACCGCAAAGCAGAAGAACACTAAAATTTAGTCTTTTATGTAAAAGACTGATAAGAAACTGATAAACTGAATTACCTTTCTTTAGGATATTATAATCAGCTTTTATATTATTTACTTAATATTTGAGTTTATATTTAATCTTGTCATTAGCCCACTTGCAATTCTCAAAATTTTAATTTAAATCCTAAATCTAGAAATGTCCTCGAGAGCCGCGATATGATTTTCAATAGAAAATTTGAATAAATGTCGAAAGAAAGGTATTTAATTATAATAATTTAATTAGAGAAAATCAACTTGAAATTTGTAATTTTATTTAATTATCTGATTTGAGTACATTTGGAAAAAAGCCCACTAATGGCCAAGTGGATAAAACCACTGAACAGTCCTGGATTCGTACCCCATTACGGGATGGCCATGTGGAGTTTTTCAGGTTTTGCAACACTTAAATCTAAATAGAGGTCAGTTTCCCATATTCGCATATTGTCCAGAAGAAAATGCCTCCCCTAGACAATATACGAATAAAATCAAACCATTTGGTAAAAAAGAAAAGAAACAAGAAAGTGAGTACAGATTATAGAGAAGAAAATGGTGAAAATATAATATATATTAAACAAGAATTTTATTTAAAAGAAGCAACAAGAAGTGAAAAAATATTTCATAACTTTTCTGTTATCATTTCAAATCTTCATGAACATGTAAAGCACTTTATTAACAATCCTACTTATAATCCAAATATTTGTAAAACTAAAAATACTTTAAAAGTTTACGGTATATGAGTTAAAAAGACATTTAAATATAATTTTTAAAGTTTCTAGAATTAATTTTAAGAAAAATCGATAAAAATCGATAAAAAATATTCTATGTTTTAATTGCTATCTCAGAATTTATTAATAAAAATTTCAATTTTACGTCTAAGTACTTAAAAATATTCTGGAAATAATGAATATATGGATTTAGTTTATTTTTAACTTCTGTTGACCAATTTCCATAGTGACTTAATGTTTACACACGTCTGCCTTCATGCAGACGTATCGAAATTGAAGGTTAATGCAATGAAGTCCTTACATTTGCCATTTTCCACAAATATGATTAATATGCGTGAGTTCCTCTTCAAATATATCATTAGTCCAATTATCTAAATCGCTTTAGAAGCCAGAGAAGATCAAATAAATTATAGTTTTGCGTTAATCGATTTATTGTTATTAGACATGAATTTCATGCCAGTGTGGGTTACTAATTGTTTAGTAAGAGTATAAGTACGTTTTATGCTGAGTTTTCGCATAATTAAAACAAAATTTCTGTGGATACAAACCAAATGAGGATAAGCATGGAAGAATTTTCAAGATTACGAATGGATATTTAGTATTTTAATATTTGTTTTACACAAGTAAGATTGATACTTGTAACGTTGTAATTAATTTTATTAAGTTAATACGTTCTGAAGAGGACAGAAAAGCTGTAAATATATATACCTAACTTCTCTAACTGAAAAAAAACCTCTCGAGTTGGTGTGACTTTCTAAACAAGAGAGCTAATACATCAAGTTTTAAAAGCATAAGAAAAAAGAAGTTTTGTTTAACTTTATTCTCTTCAATTATGCAAGATACAGGCAATAAATCAAATCCTACAGAAACTTGTATGGGATATCAATTCTTTCCTGTAGCAGTTACCACAAGAGTATTTGGCATCGATGTTTTTTTACCATGCGTTTGCTTCAAAAATAAAGAAAATGAGACAATTTCACCTTTTTTATTCAAAATCTATAGAAGTTTTATTGAAATATATCTGTGGTTTATGGTTATTTTCTTCATCGTACAAATTGTCAATCCTGAGTTTTATTGCGTGCGAGTTATTTGCATATACAAAGATTATTCGCGTCCCGCTTCGTGTGCTTTATTAATCGTGGCTTTATATTTTGCCATGCAATTCAGCATTCTTAGAAGAAAGTCCATAAAATTGCATTTTATGATCAGTAGTTATGAGGGAGAATGGAAATTAGTAAAAGATATGCAAATGTATATATTCGCATGCTTCGTCTTTCTGTTCTTCATGTTATTAGTACTAAGTATAATGCCGGATATTGTATTTTATTCAATGATAAAGAATTTAAATGGGAGTGATTTAGAGGCTTTTTCATGCTCTCTGATCCATACGATATATTTTTTATACGCTGGAGGTCAAACAATTTCCGTTCTCTTCTTGTGTCTTTTGGCATTTACTTTTGTTGCAAAAAGATCATTGAATCTCTCCAGTGATCTATATCAATTATCGCAAAAAATAGAAAATTTGGAAGAACAATTAAAACTTGTGTTAGAAAAACACATGGAATTAAGAGAAATGTTTCTTACTTTTAATGATACATTTAATATCCTAATTTGTATTATTTATTTTCATTATCTATATGCTACTTGTTTCTTCACTTATGGTGCAATATTCGTTAACATGGATCTTGAATTACGGATAATGATAGGAATTATAGCTTTCGCTTTAGCCATTGGAATTATAATCGTGTCTTGGGCATTATCTGTGATGAACTCCATGGTGAGAATTTTATTTATAATATTTTATCTGAATTTTGAAAATAAAAAATATGGTGGCCCAAAAGTCAGTTAGCCGAGATGTATTTTTATTATAAGAACGATTAAAACTAGTTATTCTACAGCGATTTTTAACTTTTTAAAAATAATTTTAAAACATATCACGGTTAACTAAGTTTTAGGCCACCTTTATATCATAAATAATCTTAAATGTAAATATTAAGCAACGCCTCTTCTATGTGACTTACAGAATTGTGTTTGTTCTCAAAATTTGATCGATCGATTTTGATTAAACTTTGCCATTTAAAAAAATTTTGAATCTTAAAAGATTTATAATAAGGTTTTTTATCACGTCGATAAATATNATCAACACAAACATTTGCGAAATTTCTTTGTAGATAACTGCTTTATGACTGTCTTGAAGTATATAGTCTTCTGTCATACATGAGTGAAAGCCAGTACAAATGCTACTGCCCAACTGTGCTGCAAATCGAATTTCTTTTACAAGTTTGTCTGGAAAGCAAAGGTTCTCCTGCACAGTTGGTCACTATCATGCACACGAATAATTTGAAATTGCACTGAGTGTAATTTCAAAATTGGGAGGCACGTTGATTGGGAAACACAAAATTGTGATTTTAAGTTGTACGACATATTCTTTTTGTACAATGAAAAGAGTCTCATAACTTTTATTAACTAAATTAGCGTGTGGCCCCTGTGCTCTGGATGCCTAAAGATATTAAATATCATTAGTTTTTTTCTAAACTATTCTTGTATAAATAAAAACATATAAGCTGTAATCATTGTTTATTTTTCTAACTGTATAATGAATGAAATGATTGTTAGAAAATGTTCTTACAACACATGAATCCATCTTTATTGTCTTCGATATGTATTATTTGTTTAATAATCAGCATGAAAAAATTATTGAAAAAATTGTTTGATTACTAAATTTTTAATTGAAAAATTTCAAGTGAGTTATATCAATTATTAATTTTCTTTATGTATTCTCAGTGTTATATTCCCATAGGAGTGGCGTGGTGCACTTATTCTAATTTAAAAAAAAAAAAAAAAACAGCAAATCTTAAACGTGTAACATATTCATTGCTTATTTAAAATTTAAATAAATTAATTATGTAAATAAAACTAATTTGTACATAATATATATAGGAACAGTGTGTATTATCATTTATTTGTATAATCTTGCTGTTATTGAAACGATAATAATAATATTAAAAAAATCTAGCAACGAGTTACATAACTTTTCCGGCTGTTATGAGATTTTGTTACGAAAAGCTTTTTATATTGCGCATTAAATTAATTACGTGAACAGGGATGAATTTTATTAAAAAATTGTAAATGCTAACAGCGAGTAAAATCGTCATTAATTAATCCGACCCCACTCGATATATGACACATGACCTCATCTGTCCCCTCGACCTTTAACCACCAAAATTTGACAGCATTAATGCATCTTATACACAACCTATCGTGCCAAATTTCGTTTGTTAACCCATTAATGCTAAAATATTGATTTTATTGTGAGTTATAAAACTTTATATTATTTCTTTGTCAAACAATTTAACATTGGGGTGAAGGATCTCGATTGAACCGTTCTCCATTATATAGTTCTTTCACTTCAGAGAGATCAAACCCAACAGGTTCTGATCTGTTCAATTCAATGGATATAAATCGGCAGGACCCGAGTTATATTCAGTCTGATAATATAAATGAAGATAATAAAATATATTTCGATTTATATTAAAAATAATTGACAATATTAATCGATAAATTCAAAACCGGACACTTATTTCAGAGTTGGCCCAAGTTTAATTGTATCAAAAGACAATTTTTTAAATAAATTCTATTAATGATTTATATTCCTGTATATGCCATTGTTGCTGTTTGATGACCATATAAAGTACAATATATCCCTATTACGATTGTTCACTTTATTCCCTAATTGAAATAAGCCTTGTATTTACTCCGTGTTAATTAAATTAATGTTAAATTTAACATAAAATGTGTAATTTTTTAATTAGATAACTTAAACAAATATATTTTAAAATAAGAAAAGATTAAATGTTTTATATTAAATATAAAAGTTAGTGAAAAAATTATAAATTAAAAATGAAAATTTGCATGAAACTTAAAATTTCAAACTTTATTAAGGCTCATTGTAAAGAAGATAATTTACAATATCGAAAAAATAAAAATAATTTAAATAAATTAAGTTCTTTTTATCAGTTTTCTTAATACAGTCCTAAATATGGAATATCTATAAAAAAAAGAAAATCGTCATAAGAAAGATTTATCAAAAATTATATGACATTTAAAAGAATAATTTAAAAACTGACCATCATCGGTGCCTCCAACCTGTGCATTCGGTTGATATACAGATCCTTGTTGAGCTGGCGACAAATAACCAAGTTGTTGCCCATATGGTACATAACCCTGTTGCTGCATTATAGGTTGAGACGAGACTTCAGATTGAACTCCTCTATTCACACACGACTGAAATAAATTTACAATTATAATTAAAATTACAATTATTCGAAAACAGAGAAAAATTACATTTATGATTACATACCTGAAAGATTCTAGGAAGAGAAGAATCTCTGTCCTTTTTTAATTTGTATGCCAGACAGCATCGAATTAAGAAATCCTCCTAAGATATATAGATTAATTGTAATTAGTAGAGATAAATAAACACACAAAAATATAACTAACAATATTAAAATACCTTTTCGTTTACTTCTTTGCAGATAAATTTTGATGTTTCTTTACTATTTCTCATGTGTCTTCGAAGAGGTCTGGCGCAGCTTTCGAAATAAGTAAACAGCTAAAAGTATAAATAATTTAATTATTTTCAATTTTTTAATCATAAAAATATCTGCTTTTTTACACTTTATTTCAGTTTTTACCTTTGACTTTCCATTTTCTGCCATACACTTTTTTAAAGCGTCTTGGTCTTTTGTAGCTACACACGAAAATGTTCAAATTATTAGGAATTTTAATTATGACTTTAAACATGTATATGATAATAACACTCTTATTTATAAAAGCTTAAAATACTGTAAATATATATTTAATTTAAATATATAAGAACTTTAAAGAGATCTTACCACAATACTTATCCAGAATGTCGAATGCATCGAGACTTCTTCCTTCTTTTGCTAATACAAAAAGAGCCAATACAATGAGTAGAAACTTCATTTTCTTTCGTAGTTTACGATTGACAACAGATAAAATTATCGGAATTTATATAGATCTAAAGTTGATGTGGAAAGCAATTTCGCCCACTCTCTGATGCCCACTCTCTCATATTGATGCAACATTAGCAACCTACTTTTAAGTTAGTCGTTATGTAAATTAATTTATCTTTGATACGCAACTAATAACTTTTTTAAAAGGTTAAAAAAACTAAAAATTTCAATAATTACTTAGCAAATACTTTATAACAGAACGAGTATTATGACGACAACTTTTTGTTTGGAGTTCTAAAACTGTGCCAATTTACTATCTTTTAATTCCTATAAACAATACAAGAAACGCAATAAAAATTTTATTTATTCTTTAATAATCTTATTTAAATTATATATAAAAACATTGCTTTATTTAAGACTAGTTTAATTTAAATAATTTAAGGAATTTCCTTTTCTTTTTTTAACTTCTTCCTTCTATTTTCTATATAGCACTTGACCCGATTTACTTGATCTATTTAATTAAATTTGTATTAATTTCCGTATTTGTCTCTTAAATTGAAGGCTGCCCGAAATTTTCGTGTGTTAACGGGACATGCTTTATTTTGAAATTTAAGAGTTATGTAAAATTTTTTAATCTAAGTACTCGTTTCATTTATTTATATCAATAGAAAATTATATCATTGAATATAATTAATATTTTCTTACGTGCATTCGGTTGATATACAGATCCTTGTTGAGCTGGCGACAAATAACCAAGTTGTTGCCCATATGGTACATAACCCTGTTGCTGCATTATAGGTTGAGACGAGACTTCAGATTGAACTCCTCTATTCACACACGACTGAAATAAATTTACAATTATAATTAAAATTACAATTATTCGAAAACAGAGAAAAATTACATTTATGATTACATACCTGAAAGATTCTAGGAAGAGAAGAATCTCTGTCCTTTTTTAATTTGTATGCCAGACAGCATCGAATTAAGAAATCCTCCTAAGATATATAGATTAATTGTAATTAGTAGAGATAAATAAACACACAAAAATATAACTAACAATATTAAAATACCTTTTCGTTTACTTCTTTGCAGATAAATTTTGATGTTTCTTTACTATTTCTCATGTGTCTTCGAAGAGGTCTGGCGCAGCTTTCGAAATAAGTAAACAGCTAAAAGTATAAATAATTTAATTATTTTCAATTTTTTAATCATAAAAATATCTGCTTTTTTACACTTTATTTCAGTTTTTACCTTTGACTTTCCATTTTCTGCCATACACTTTTTTAAAGCGTCTTGGTCTTTTGTAGCTACACACGAAAATGTTCAAATTATTAGGAATTTTAATTATGACTTTAAACATGTATATGATAATAACACTCTTATTTATAAAAGCTTAAAATACTGTAAATATATATTTAATTTAAATATATAAGAACTTTAAAGAGATCTTACCACAATACTTATCCAGAATGTCGAATGCATCGAGACTTCTTCCTTCTTTTGCTAATACAAAAAGAGCCAATACAATGAGTAGAAACTTCATTTTCTTTCGTAGTTTACGATTGACAACAGATAAAATTATCGGAATTTATATAGATCTAAAGTTGATGTGGAAAGCAATTTCGCCCACTCTCTGATGCCCACTCTCTCATATTGATGCAACATTAGCAACCTACTTTTAAGTTAGTCGTTATGTAAATTAATTTATCTTTGATACGCAACTAATAACTTTTTTAAAAGGTTAAAAAAACTAAAAATTTCAATAATTACTTAGCAAATACTTTATAACAGAACGAGTATTATGACGACAACTTTTTGTTTGGAGTTCTAAAACTGTGCCAATTTACTATCTTTTAATTCCTATAAACAATACAAGAAACGCAATAAAAATTTTATTTATTCTTTAATAATCTTATTTAAATTATATATAAAAACATTGCTTTATTTAAGACTAGTTTAATTTAAATAATTTAAGGAATTTCCTTTTCTTTTTTTAACTTCTTCCTTCTATTTTCTATATAGCACTTGACCCGATTTACTTGATCTATTTAATTAAATTTGTATTAATTTCCGTATTTGTCTCTTAAATTGAAGGCTGCCCGAAATTTTCGTGTGTTAACGGGACATGCTTTATTTTGAAATTTAAGAGTTATGTAAAATTTTTTAATCTAAGTACTCGTTTCATTTATTTATATCAATAGAAAATTATATCATTGAATATAATTAATATTTTCTTACGTGCATTCGGTTGATATACAGATCCTTGTTGAGCTGGCGACAAATAACCAAGTTGTTGCCCATA